TACTATCTTCATAACATTATCCAATTTATACTCTCTTCACAACAGTATCCAATCTATACTATCTTCATAACATTATCCAATTTATACTCTCTTCACAACAGTATCCAATCTATATTCTCTTCCAAACAGTATCCACTTTCTTTGTGATATTTATGCTTCATTTTTTTAAAATCCTTTACATTAACTTCACTTTTGTTTGTGGCTGGCTGGCTGAATGACTCCCTGGGTGTCATAATTCTTGCTCCTCCCAATTATGTAACACTTCTTGCTTCTCCCAATTATGTAACACTTCTTGCTCCTCCCAATTATGTCATACTTCTTGCTCCTCCCAATTATGTCATACTTCTTGTTCCTCCCAATTATGTAACACTTCTTGCTCCTCCCAATTATGTAACATTTCTTGCTCCTCCCAATTATGTCATACTTCTTGCTCCTCCCAATTATGTAACACTTCTTGCTCCTCCCAATTATGTAACATTTCCTGCTCCTCCCAATTATGTCACACTTCTTGCTCGTCCAAATTATGTAACACTTCTTGCTCCCCCCCCCAATTATGTAACACTTCTTGCTCCTCCCAACTATATAACACTTCTTGCTGCTCCCAATTATGTAACACTTCTTGCTGCTCCCAATTGTGTAACATTTCTTGCTCCTCCCACTTATGTAACACTTCTTGCTGCTCCCAATTATGTAACACTTCTTGCTGCTCCCAATTATGTAACACTTCTTGCTGCTCCCAATTGTGTAACACTTCTTGCTCCTCCCAATTATGTAACACTTCTTGCTCCTCCCAATTATGTAACACTTCTTGCTCCTCCCAATTATGTAACACTTCTTGCTCCTCCCAATTATGTAACACTTCTTGCTCCTCCCAATTATGTAACACTTCTTGCTCCTCCCCATTATTTAACATTTCCTGCTCCTCCTAATTATGTAACACTTCTTGCTCCTCCCAATTATGTCATACTTCTTGCTCCTCCCAATTATGTAACACTTCTTGCTCCTCCCAATTATGTAACACTTCTTGCTCCTCCCAATTATGTAATACTTCTTGCTCGTCCCAATTATGTTATACTTCTTGCTCCTCCCAATTATGTAACACTTCTTGCTCCTCCCAATTATGTAATACTTCTTGCTCGTTCCATTTATGTCATACTTCTTGCTCCTCCCAATTATGTAACACTTCTTGCTGCTCCCAATTATGTCATACTTCTTGCTCCTCCCAATTATGTAATACTTCTTGCTCCTCCCAATTATGTAATACTTCTTGCTCGTTCCATTTATGTCATACTTCTTGCTCCTCCCAATTATGTAACACTTCTTGCTCCTCCCAATTATGTAATACTTCTTGCCCCACCCAATTATGTCATACTTCTTGCTCCTCCCATTCATGATAGACAGTTGAAGCCTTTTTTTTAAAATCCCACTAAATCTCTGATTTTTTTTTTTTTTGAAGTCTTAAAATATATTACAGGAAATTACAGCTACGCATAACAATATCGTCTTACACCTTCAGAATTTTCTTTTTGAGTTCCACTGTAGAATAACTGTTCGTTTTGAAATAGTTTTGTATAAAAAAAATGAGCATACTGGCATGAACAAATTGATTTATGATGGAAATTGACTGAAGATAATTTTATATTCGTAATTCTTATAAAACTTTGCTCAGTCGCAAAACGCATTCAACTATTTCAATTGATTAGTTCTTGGTGACCTTTGATGAGGTTTAGGTGACGTCACAGTTTACACACCGGAATGAATGATCAAGCAAGCTCATTATAAATGAAACCCGAAACGAGATAAGTGAATTCGAAACCAAATCAGTGAGTTCGTTATTGACCAGAGAACTGTCCATGGTTCATATTGATTTTTGTACGCTGATCTTAGTTCCACGTTTTGCCATTGAATCAACATGACGTCAATTATAAACAGCTGACTAAAATTGTGGAACACATAAGGCGCGTAACACATTTTTTACGAATCCATTTTTTTTAAATTAAAAAAAACCTTCTAAACCTTATAAGGATTTCTAAACAAAACATTAAAAAATGTACAGCTACGAAAATAAAGTCTCGAAATAAATCTTTTATTTTTTTAATTGAGTATTTTGCAGTTTAAAAATTCGGAGAAAAAAAAAAGGGGGAGGGGGGAGTTAGAGCGAAAATAATTCAACTTATGAAAGGGCCATAACCAACTTAGACCCAAAAGAGTTGCAGCTAAGCAAAGAAAATATGAAAATAACAAAGGGCACTGAATCAATGTGTTTTTCTATTAATTAGTAGTCACTTGTTGACTTTCGGTACAGTCCCTTGTTTCAACTCTGCCGCCAGAAGAAAGATGGCTGCACAATTTCCGATATTGACGGATTGGTTTAAAATAAAACCAGAACATCTCAGGGTCTTGCTGGCTCTCCTTCAACTCTCAGGTTCCGGTAGATCAAATGCCGAAACCAAATTTCGCTTGTGTCAACTTTTGATTAACGCCCCCCCCCCCCTTTTCCCTCCGTCCCCGAACTGCGACTTCACTCTCTGATGGGTCGCGTCCCCCCCCTGTTTCTGAATGAACCGAAGAAATGTGTAACTTACTGAAACTTACGTTATGTTTGTGACTATGTTAAGACCGAACACTTTAGATATATAAACTTAGAATATTTAAATGAACTTTTTTTAAAAAACAACAGATCGTGTTTTAAAATCAAAATTATTTAGTATTGAATTCTAGCTTGCACAATTACATCATACCGGTCAATAAAGTACTAGTACTTTCTAGATCAGTTGCAGGAACTACATCTTTACTTTTTAGATCAGTAGCAAGAACTACATCTCTACTTTCTAGATCAATTGCGTGAGCTACATCTCTACTTTCTAGATCAGTTGCCAGAACTACATCTCTACTTTCTGAGACTTTCTAAATCAGTAGCAAGAACTACATCTCTACTTTCTAGATCAGTAATAAGAACTACATCTCTACTTTCTAGATCAGTTGCTGGAACTACATCTCTACTTTCTAGATCAGCAGCAAGAACTACATCTTTACTTTCTAGATCAGTTGCCAGAACTACATCTCTACTTTCTTAGACTTTCTAGATCAGTTGCAAGATCTACATCTCTACTTTCTAGATCAGTATCAAGAACTACATCTATATTTTCTAGATCAGTTGCAAGAACTACATCTGTACTTTCTAGATCAGTTGCAGGAACTACATCACTACTTTCTAGATCAGTAGCAAGAACTACATCTCTACTTTCTAGATCAGTTGCCAGAACTACATCTCTACTTTCTTAAACTTTCTAGATCAGTTGCAAGATCTACATCTCTACTTTCTAGATCAGTATCAAGAACTACATCTACATTTTCTAGATCAGTTGCAAGAACTACATCTGTACTTTCTAGATCAGTTGCAGGAACTACATCACTACTTTCTAGATCAGTAGCAAGAACTACATCTCTACTTTCTAGATCAGTTGCCAGAACTACATCTCTACTTTCTAAGACTTTCTAAATCAGTAGCAAGAACTACATCTCTACTTTCTAGATCAGTAATAAGAACTACATCTATATTTTCTAGATCAGTTGCAAGAACTACATCTCTACTTTCTAGATCAGTTGCTGGAACTACATCTCTACTTTCTAGATCAGCAGCAAGAACTACATCTCTACTTTCTAGATCAGTTGCCAGAACTACATCTCTACTTTCTTAGACTTTCTAGATCCGTTGCAAGATCTACATCTCTACTTTCTAGATCAGTATCAAGAACTACATCTATATTATCTAGATCAGTTGCAAAAACTACATCTGTACTTTCTAGATCAGTTGCAGGAACTACATCTCTACTTTCTTAGACTTTCTAGATCAGTTGCAAGATCTACATCTCTACTTTTTAGATCAGTTGCAAGAACTACATCTTTACTTTCTAGATCAGTAGCAGGAACTACATCTTTACTTTCTAGATCAGTTGCAAGAACTACATCTCTACTTTCTAGATCAGTACCGGGTAGCTCCTTAACACACATGAACAATTTTATCCTATGAAAGAACTACTGGTAAATCTCTGCGTCCTAATCGATCAGTTGCTTCTGAACCCACATGTATAAATAGTTGTATATTTTCTCTGTGAGTTGACGTGACTCCCCCTCCCAAAAAAAAAAAAAATTATTATTTTCTACATGCACTACAAATCTCGGCGGCTCATTTAAATTAAAATACCCCATTATCAGTGTGGAAGTTTAGCCCTAAGTTTGATGTTAATTGTGGAAATTTAGCCCTAAGTTTGATGTTAATCGTGTTTCAGGAATCCCCGAGCCTTGTATAAAGCCAAGAAAAGCCACGTCTTCTTATGTCAGCTTGTCCTCCAAGAGCTGTCTTTACATTCTAGCATCTATTAGTATTACCATATGCAGTGGGCTTTCTTCACTCCTTCAACATAGCTATAAACCTCATCATCTGCTAAGTGGCAGAAAAAGGTCCATCACTACAAGTTAGTAAGTAATAATAAGATCTGCCATTAGTGGAACTAATGCCCAAGCTCCCTACTTCAAACAGTACATGGCATGAAATCAACTACAGCTCCCTACTTCCAACAATACATGGAATCAAATCAACTACAGCTCCCTACTTCAAACAGTACATGGCATGAAATAAACTACAGCTCCCTACTTCCAACAGTACATGGAATCAAATCAACTACAGCTCCCTACTTCCAACAGTACATGGAATCAAATCAACTACAGCTCCCTACTTCCAACAGTACATGGAATGAAATCAACTACAGCTCCCTACTTCCAACAGTACATGGAATGAAATCAACTACAGCTCCCTACTTCCAACAGTACATGGAATGAAATCAACTACAGCTCCCTACTTCCAACAGTACATGGAATCAAATCAACTACAGCTCCCTACTTCCAACAGTACATGGAATCAAATCAACTCCATAAAACTACATTCACCCACAACACAAACAAACAAAAGATTTTAAGTGAAATGGATTAGTTAATTTTTACATCTTTTTATTTATTTTTGTAACACTTTTAAACAAGTCCAGGTAAAAATAAAACTATATTTGTAAAGTAGATCTCTAGAAGTGTTTCCCAATCCTTTCAGTTTAGCGGACCATTGGACAAGTTTCAAAGTTGCAGCAGATTTATTCATTACATTTTCTATTTATTTGACCATAAATATTCATGTCGTGCGGACCAGAATGTAAGGCTTGTCGACCGACACCGGTCCACGGACCACCATTTGGGGAACACTGCTCTAGAAGATTAATTTCAAGACCAACACATCTCACAACACACCTCATATGAACCTTAACAAGAACGACACAAAACTCTTCATTGTGTAACTAAGCCTACGGTAGACATCGAGCAGATTTCTAAATATTCACAAAGAAATGAACTTCATACATGTGTTGTCTGTAATGTCACTTGTGTGAATGAATTTTATGTTATAAAATGAATTATATTTAATAAGATACATTTACTTTTCAATAACACCGTAAAACATATCACAATATTGAAGGGTTAAAAGGCATATATGACAAACTCTAATTGGGCCCTATCAAACTGTGAATGGCCCTATCAAACTGTGATTGGGGACTATCAAACTGTCATAGGGGCAATCCGCAAGACCTCTTTCATGTAAGGGAGACTATTTAGGGTGAACACGACTAACCCAACTGGAGGTCAGACCCCTTTAAAATGGTGGGCACACTGACTCAACTGGACGTCAGACCCCTTTAAAATGGTGGTCAAAGTAGCGCAACTGGAGGTCAGACCCCTTTAAAATGGTGGTCAAAGTAGCGCAACTGGAGGTCAGACCCCTTTAAAATGGTGGTCAAAGTAGCGCAACTGGACGTCAGACCCCTTTAAAATGGTGGTCAAAGTAGCTCAACTGGACGTCAGACCCCTTTAAAATGGTGGTCAAACTAACGCAACTGGACGTCAGACCACTTTAAAATGGTGGACACACTGACCCAACTAGAGGTCAGACCCAACTGGACGTAAGACCCCTTTAAAATGGTGGGCACACTTCGTGTCAATTGCTTCTAGTATTTTTGGGTTGTTTTCTTCTCCTTTCCATTCACTTTCTCATGGTTGTCATCAACCTATTTTCTTCTCCTTTCCATTCACTTTCTCATGGTTGTGATCAACCTTCAGTTTTCAAAAACAAAATGTATTTACAACAATTTTATCAGAAAATTTCATTAACATTTTTTAAAAATGAAAGCAAACAATTTGCCATCCAATTGTTTCCTGCTGGAGACGTGATTGGCATCCTAACAGAAGGTGATAGTACTTGTTAGTATTCATACAGAATTTCTATATTGGAAAATGATAAGATGGAGTGATTATAAATTTAAATACAGTTAATTATTTTTTTTTATGAAGTGCCTACCGCCATTCTGGTATATTTGATGCTGTGATTTGTGCACTTTGAGCAAAGTACATAGTACTTTCATTGATCTAGATTCCAGAGTATCTGGCTTAAAATAAACAACTATCTAGACTAAAAACTGCTTTTTGTATTTTTTCATTTAGCGAAAATGAAAAATTAAATTGTCTATGCCCAATCCTTAGTCATGAAAATATGCACTTTTTAAGTAACATCCAAGTCCTTATTGAGAAATGCCCACGTCATCAATGGCCGAGCCTTCATACTTGGCCACTTTTGATTTAAGTTTTGCATTTTCCTTTCGGAGTTTGTTCATTTCATCTCGCAGACATGAATTTTCTTTTTCCAAAAATGCAGCTCGTAATGCAATCTGATTTTCTTTGACCCGACGAGCGTCCCGTGAACGCTTTGCCGCATAATTATTTTTATGGCGACGAGCCCAATATCTTTCATCTTTCAAGTCATCTGGGACAAATATCTAAAAGAAAGATTGAACAAAATAGAATGGGCTTATTAAATGGTATGAATAATATTTCTAATTCACTGATTGACTCCAAATCTAACTTTGATACTGCTAGTTTTAAATGAGTACATAAACTTAAATAAATAATTAGATTGTTGCAAACCCCTGGAATTGCCAATCAGCCTTTCTTTGACATTTGACAACAATTTCCTTAAAAAACATCTTAGCCGAGAATACTGCCGAGATATCTGGCAGCATCTGTTAGTGTGATGACCATTTAGGTGTACAGCTAAAATATTATTTTAAGTTTAAGTGTTCAGTAATTTCAACTTGTATCAACTGTTGGCACACACAAAATAACTTGAGATTAAATTTTTATTTTTGTATAACAATGAGAGAGGTGTGTCAGGGCGTGCCAGAACTCATTTAGAGTATTTAGACACATGGGAATAAATAATTTCATGTATTTATTTCTTAAAAATCACAAAAATTTTATTAGAAATTTAAGTGTTCATGTTTTTTTTACAATAATTTCTTAAAATCTTCCGCCCAAGATGGCCAGGGCAGTTAGATGATTTAGGCTCAGGCAGGTGCTGGTGCACCTGTTGACAGCCCCATTAGCCAAAGGAAAAAAATTTATTGATGAATTGAGATTTTTTTGGGAACGTTGTGGTATTAAGAGCTCTGCAACTTTTCTATGGATATTTCAAGTTACCTTTTTGGATTTTTTTATAATGGGCTGTGGCTTGAGCTCTTCTTCTGTGAAGTTTCTTCTCCGTGGGTCAAACCCTTCTTGACCTGAGTGGGAAAGGATAGGTCTAGTTTAATTAAACCATCAAAATGAAAGTAAGATGAAACTTTTGATTGTGGTTACTTCATTGTGCACATGAAAACAAAGCGGTGTCAGTAAGATTGTGGTTTTCAGAAATGAGATGTGTGAAATCTGGTTATGGAGTGGCTTTATCCGATAAGCACTTGGCTTGAAACCAACTTCGGTAACAGGGCAAACTATCTTTGAGCATCAACTAAATGTCATGTGTCAGAAAATTGTCAGTTACATGTCAGTAAATTGTCAGTTGCATGTCAGTAAATTGTCAGTTACATGTCAGTAAATTGTCAGTTACATGTCAGAAAATTGTCAGTCACATGTCAGAAAATTGTCAGTTACATGCTTCTCAATGATGTAAATAATTGTGCAATTGAGATCATCCAAATTTTCACCAAAGACTATGGTTATGGGAGTCTCAAATTAATATAACCGGCCATTGTAAGAAAAGCAACAGTTTTGTGATTCATGTTACTAGTTACACTTCCACACAAAAAATTCAGTCTTGAATGTATGACATATCCGTTTGTATTAATTTGTGAGATATTTTGTTCCTACACCCTAGGGAGTAATGGGAGTTTTGTGAAAGTGTACTTTGCAATATATCAACATGCAATCATGTAGAGCACCCTTCATTATGTCATGATCCATCCAGCCCTTACGGTCTGCCCAGATATTCTAAAAGGACTTTGTCAAAAAAAGCATTATTAGTGAATATTACTCATGGCCTATCTCATTTCAGCTTCACTCTTTAGATTTTCCTGGGGTGCAATATAGTTTGTCCCGGGTTTGCCTTATAGGTTGTCCTGGGTTTGCAATTTAGGTTGTCTTTTATTTACAAAAAGATTTACAAAATGGGTTACACTATATTTATAATATAAGTTCTGTCTTGCAAACTCTTGATGTTAAAATAAAATATCAAAACAATGTTTACTGTAAGTCGTAAGCCATATTTGATATGTATTAATCTTTGCATTAAACCTTATATACGAGTAATTACTGCAATGTGTATTTGAAATTAGTAGCTATATGAATCAGTACATTCTTAAAAACACATCCTTTCAAAATTAATTTGCCAAATTCCAACTGATGCTTATTGAATCTGTAAATGAAATAAATTAAAAGGTAGCCACACCCTGATGATTATAACAGTTGCCTGTATCAGGATTAACTTTATATGGTAGATTCCCAAGGTATCATTTTAAGTGTTGAATTTTTAAAATTCCTTTAATACACTTTAATTATTAAGGAGTTTTTAAGAAGTTTATTTCCTTGAAAGTTATTAAAATGCACCTCTATCGACACAGTGGATTGTGGCTGCCTCCAAGCCAAGAGTCAAGAAGAACCCAGTTAGAATTTGAATGCAATAACCCAAAAAGGAAACAATTCTTAGGGAGGAATTAAATACTGCACCAAAAAATATATAATTCAGATGATGCCATTAAATTTGTGTGGGATTATAGTTAGGCTCTCTATGAATGGCTATCCTAATGCAATGCATAAAAAAAAACATTTTAAAAATTTTTACAATGAATTTTAAAGCAAAGGGATAAAATAAATACAAATTATACAAAATACTCATACCATTATGGTTTGTAGTAAGCAGCCTATAATCCCCCAGTAAACAAGTCTTCAAAGAATATATAAATAATTGTTCAAAGTTTTTGTATATTCCATTGGTTAAAGTGCAAGCACAGTCTTAAGTGCCACTCCATGACAATGTGGACAGAACTAGTTTTAACCTCCAAGCTGCTAACTGGCGCCCCACTGACCACAGAACTAGTTTGAACCTCCAAGCTGCTAACTGGAGCCCCACTGACCACAGAACTAGTTTGAACCTCCAAGCTGCTGCTAACTGGAGCCCCACTGACCACAGAACTAGTTTGAACCTCCAAGCTGCTGCTAACTAACTAACTAACTGGCGCCCCACTGACCACAGAACTAGTTTGAACCTCCAAGCTGCTGCTAACTAACTAACTAACTGGCGCCCCACTGACCATTTTTCTTTCCTTTTTCCTCACTCCGTGCTTGCCATTTAGGAACATAGGTCGAAGAATCTTCACCATAATCTGGTGAAAGATTGCAAAAGTCATACATAGGTCGAAGAATCTTCACCATAATCTGGTGAAAGATTTCAAAAGTCATACAATAAATTGACACAGACACAAGAAAGCAGATAAACTTACCCAAGTTTATGTGCACTACGGTAAATTATCAAAGTCCAGCACTGCTAATATGTGGACCTTATTAATAAAAAGGAATTACTAAAGGCCACACACAGAAAATAAATTACCAGATCTTTCTCACAGGTGAGTTTGTTGCAGATCTTTAAAAAAAAACTATGACTATCTTTTATCATGGAAAAAAAAAAAAGACATGAGAATCTTTGGTCCTGCAAAGAGCAACTATGGTCCTATCAGCAAGTGTCCAAGTTGTTTCAAATTTTCTCATTACTCTTTTTATCCTCACAGCACATCCTTACATCCACGTGCCCACATAGTTTAAATAGGTGTCAATGGTTACTTTTGTCCAGTACCAAAAATGTATTCACATTCAAAGGGTATGTTAATGTTTAAGGAAGGATCTTTTATTGGAATGCTAGCACAGCATTTGTTTTTTGTTTGTTTTTTTTTGGTTTTTTTAATTGGTGCTTATATTAATTGTTGAAGCTGACAATGACCAACTGTGTGTTTTGACACACATTTGACACAGGAGTGACACACATTTCACACACAAGAGTTTGACACACATGTAACACATGAGCCTTTGACACACCATTGGGTTGTGAAAGGTTTACAGGTATGTTGGATTAACTTTACATAATTCATATGTTTATTTAATCAGAAAACTATTTGCTTTGATACTGATACTAACTATAAAACACCTATTGATTTCCTCCATACAAATTATATGGTGTCTAATGGAATAATAGTCATTAGTTATAATGTATTGAATACTGCTTTTATTTTTTTTTAGAGCACAAAAGTAACAATTCAATATAAAACATAGTGTAAAAAAATGATCTGTAAATTTTAAATGGATCAAATATTTTCTTATTCTGTTATTAAAAAGATAAATCTCTTGAAGGCAAACTAGATGACTTCAATTGAAACAATAATTGAAATACTAGATGTGTGCAACTGAAACAACAGATAGAATCAAATGCCTGTTAGGATGAGGTGATGCATTAATCTAAAATTGTTTGCACTGAAATTTCGAAACATATTTTTTCAGCATATAAGAAACATGTCATTATATTTTCTGAGACTTATTCTTGTTTTGTTGGAATTATTTTAACTAATGTGGTCTACATATTTCAATGAAACATGGAAGGCTATTGCCGGGCAACCCTTTTCCTTTTGGGATGATTTGCAAGTTGAAAACTGGTTTATATCATAAATCATATCCATTGTTCCTGAAATGAAGTTAATAAAACTGTTTCCCATAATGATATATCTTGTTATATTTTGGTGTCCCAATTAGTGAAGTAAAACTAAGAATTTAAATTATTTGATTTAATATTTATTCTTTGAGTTTTGTGCCAGATAAACTTCTGGCCCCAAATACATTGTATGATTGTTAATTTAGCATATTTTTTTAATACTATTTTTATCTATCAGTTGGGACAAAAATTGAGTACATTGAAAGAATGTCAATGTTCGAGGTCTGTTAGGTGTAATAAATAAATATCAAGTCACTAAATTTTAAAATATTTAATTAATAAATGCTTTTAGTACAAATAGCTGCGGGGAAATTATGTTATGTTTACATTTGCTTTCTAATTATAACTCATTAGATTTTTAATAATGACTCATTAAAGAAACAAATAATTATCTTATACCTCTACACAAATAAGACATTAAAAAGCAGTACCTGGAATCGCTGTCAGAGCAAGATCCTGCTCACTGACTTGAAAGTCCACATTGAACGGGCTGACAGGAGGCGATGGACTCTTGCTGACAGGTTGCTGGGGTGGAGTTTCAAATTTATCTGGACTGGGGGCACTTGGTTTGAGATACTGGGAGGGGCTCATTGGTGGAGATTTGAGGTACTCACGGGGTGATAAAGGCGGTTGGTTGGTCACACCTGTAAAATCCAGATAGTCTTTATTTAAATTCTACAAATTAAAATGTTTTAATAAAAAAATAAGAATGGTACATACTAAATGGTGTGGGTTTATACATTAATAACATAACATTCTGAAAATGTACGTATTCATCCCTTAAAAAATTAATTTCAGGTCCACATACATTATGTATTTTCATACTAATTAACTTTATGAATCCTAAATCATAACCCATGATCCACAACCACTCACCAGGCAAACTGGCATCCACTGGATTGGTGACTTTTAAGGTCTCATCCCCAACAATAGGAATGCCATTTTCTGATAGAAATTCATCAAGGTCCATGTACTCCAGGTTAAAATCAGAGTTATCAACACTCCTGTCCCACAGATTGGGACCAAGAAAGGCTGAACCATAGTTGAACTGGGGCAAATCAGATCCATCATTTTCTTTCTTGCCTTTAAGTTGATCACTTGCTAAAAAAGGAATTTGATTGTTCACATGTAGTCTATTTCATCATTTTAATATATCTAAAAAAGTTTTTATATGAAAAAAGTCAGGGGTCGGCAAGTTAACAATTTAAAAATCAACGATCGGCAAGTTAACAATTTAAAAATCAACGAATAAACAAACCAAAAATATCATTTTATTTCTTTAAATTAAGGAGAATACAGTTTTTTTAGGGAAAGGTATGCTTTTGGTAGGAAAAATTTCTGAAGGTCCCCTGGCATCAACTTAGTCATTGATTTAAGTCAAGCTATTTCACTCTTTGCTGGACGTTAGTCATTGATTTAAGTCAAGCTATTTCACTCTTAGCTGGACGTTCCATTATTCTTTGCTGGGTACTTTTAGCAGGCTAATTAAGAGATGCATGTCAGTGCTTCTTTTGAAAAAATCCTTCAAAGTTCAAGTTCTAGCTATGTAAGAACGAGGTAACAAAACAAATTTGAGTGAATGTGGTATTTTTAAGAACAATGGGTTGTTGGTTATTTTGATTTTAAATCAAGCAACAGTATTTGCTTACAGTAACTAAAAGGGCTGTCAAAAATAGAAAAAACACCTGCCCCGGTAACCCTGTCCACTCATGGAGCAAATACCTGGCTACCCAATGGAGCAGACAAGTTATAACAAATGTAGGGAGTAATGGGAGTGTTGTGAAAAGTGTAATTTTCAATATTTAAACATGCAATCATGTAGATCACTTTGTAATAATTATTTATGATTATTAAAATTTAACAAATAACATTTAGCCCTTACTATAATATGTACAGAAGACAATATGAGCATGACTAAGGATGTTAAACGAAACCAGCATTTGATTTTCAAAAACCAGTTACCAAATATTTTTATCATGAATCATGATATTAAAAAATTATAACAATAAACAACATGTGTCAAACTCAAGGCCACATCCTGCCCGCTGTACAATTATATCAGGCCTGTGAGGTCTTGACTGGCGTACAATTATATCCAAGTCAACGCTGGTGTTTCCCAATGCAAACTTCGCTGAAAACTTAGCTTACTTCGCGCCAAGTTCGCACAACGCTTTGGTGACTTTGAAGCACAGATATGTAATTTTGAGCTGTTTCGTAACCCATTTGTCATAGACGTGAAAATGGCACCTGTAAATTTGCAGATGGAGTTAACAGAGCTGCAGTGTAGTGGACACTAAAGGCAAAGTACAACACAGTTGGGCTGGCACAGTTCACTCGTTTCATTCCTGAAGAGATGCCCCAGCCCCAACTTCGTCTACATGCGGCTCGAACCATGAGCATGTTGGGTAGCACATATATGTGTGAGCAGCTTTTTTCTGTGATGAAGATTAACAAAACATCACACAGGATTCATTTCAATGATGAACACTTGCAGTCCATAATGAGAATCTCAATGACAAATAATATTACTCCCAACATAAACGAACTTACTTGTTTTTGTAGCCAAGAAAATGGGCCAAACATCCAGCTCTGACAAATTGCCATAAGACTCATAAGAGCGAAATGGGTATGCCAACGATTTTTAATTATCAAAACTTTTTTCTGTTTTCATTTATATAAATGTTTTTAAAAAAGATTAATTTTCCGTTTATTTAATGTTCACCCTGTTCGGCACGCAACCTTACATGTGATTTGAGTTTTGGCCCGTCGAGTGATTGAGTTTGACACCCCTGTAATAAACCAATAGTAATAGTAGGCCTAAATGACTAAATGCATGTTCATCTAGTCAATTTTACAATTGAAATGTCTTGTTCTAGTTTTGATTTTGTCCAAAAAAAATGCTCAAAATATATTATTAATAGGTGACAGAGTAGGCTATGGAGAGTAGCAATAGAAAAGGGTAATTAATAATACCATATTTTACAAAATGACGACAAAGTAAGGTGATTAAGTTCAGGAAGTACCATAGGACAGACACTGAGATTGAGACAATAGGCCTAATGTGAATTTTATTTCTTTGGACTATGGAATCTGACCTTATTTTTGAAAATCAAAAATGTGTCTCAGAGCTCTGAGTAGTCTTAGAGTCAAAGCAACTACCTTCTTTACGAGTTTCTAAAATCATGAATTCTTTGTTTTAACCTCAACCCTCTCCAGAAGACTATTATTAATTGACTTCCAGCGAATATTAGGAGTTGACTTCTTTAATCTAAAAATAGCTTTAGCCACAAATGACGTCATTTATCACGTTGCAGGACGCATGACCAGAAAAGTTACCATTCAGCGTTAAGTTTCAGGAACCTTGACCTATGTTTTATGTCGTAAAACAACATATTTTAATGTTTCTTTTTAAATTATTGCATCAGAATATGAGTATGCCCTTATTTGCCACTTAAATAAATATAAAGTAATCAATTCATCAATGCTCACATTAAATTATATTAGTAGTAGTAGTGTTGATTATTTTTTTAACTCACTATACTATGTCGTAAAAAAAACTGTTCAGTGTTAGGTAACAACGAATGCCATTTGGTTTTACGATCTTCCGATTAAAAGAAAAAAAAAATAGTTCCCCGTTAATATGTAGGCTTATATTATACTTCAAAAAGCATAATATGAGTAACGGAAAACTAGGGGCTAGAGCTATAACGAAGTATTGCCAGGGCATCAGGAGAACTAAGACCTACCCGACCCAACCTAACCTACATTTACATTTAAATGACCATAATTTTTTTTTATAAAGTATAATAAAATTAAAAATAAAGGAATGAATCATTTCCTTTAGTTTTAGCCTAAACTTTAATACCATAAAATAAGCGTTTGGTAATCAGATATTTTCAAAGGTTTTTTTTTTTTTTTTTTTAAAAGCCATAATTTGAATCTATTTTTAATTTTTTTTTTTTTTTTAACAGCCATAATTTGCATCTATTTTTAACACTCAGGCTCAGTGCACGCACACTAACACTATTTACACCACACAGTCGTGAATGAATACACTTTAACTCACCAGACAACCCGATAACAGGTGGATTTTTTAGAATTGGATCCTCCAAAAGTGCCTTTAACGTCATTGATCCCAGGAAATGGGGCGGCACAGCCATTTTATTCGATCACCAGGTTTTAGGGAAAATAATATTCCAGATTTATAAGCCTAATGTTTTCAGCAATGACGATAACCTAGTTTTACTCCTCCAGTTGTGGAATATAAGCTGCAACTACAGTACAGCCTAGTGTCACAAGCAGCCAATCGAAGTAATGATTTTAGTCACATGGTCCAAGCGAGCTCCTTTCATTTATTTGCTAGGCCTGGGTTTTTTTCAATGATGGGTCGTTGAGTCGGAACCAGAAATTATTTCATTTTAGGCTAACTAATTTAAATTTAAACTCAATAATCTGCAATTTAACAAAAAATAAGTGTTACAAAATATACTCATGTTTGACATGCCGTTTATATCATATTAATATTATTAAACAGATATCAAATAACAAACTAATGTAGATTATCATTATGTAGGTTAAGCCAAAAGTGCCTATAGTTTTAGTTGCAATACTAAGACTTTTTGTTTACTAACAGTGCGAGTAACCTACTTGAGTGATAATACGGAAAAAACAACAACTAGCCAATAAATAATATAGACCTTATCAATTCTTAATGAATTCTCCAATATAAAATTGATTCTGGTCCTACCTTTAATAAACTCTTATATTTGTAACATTTCTTAAAGAACAATTTAAAAATGTTAAAAAAATATAAATGCATTGTGCCCGCCAATTTCTGTATTTTAAGCATTAACTAAGGCTAAGGGGCAGGGCTACCACACCTTGGGAAATTTCCCAAGATCTTGGGAATTCACGACCCCCCTTGGGATCTGGGGAATAATTTTGAAAATCATGCAAAACCTTGGGAAATCTTAACTGGGGGGAAAATTTTGTTATATTTTTCGAAAAAAA